CCCCAAAACCCCAAAACCCCAAAACCCCTGTAGCTTTAAATAGTTGAAAGAAGCATTAATAATAAGTATTTTCTAAACTAAACACGAATAATGTCAAACACACTGTTTATTGTTAACAAGAGACTCAGAGTATCCAGCCCTGTAGCTGTCAGACTTCCTCTATTGAACGCAAAAAGTGCTGATTTTGAGGACAGAAGAACTAAGAGGGCCCACAGATACCAGAAGAGACAGCCCCTTCGGTCAATTGGAAGGACTAATATTAATGAGTTCTCCAAGAATCTTAATTGAAGAAAAGTCTATATTGCTCGACTGGTGAATAAGTCTGAATCTCAAGAGTAAGTCTTTTTACTTTCAACAGAAATTCTCAGGATTATTTAGATATAGGTGACTAGGATAAGCTAGTTACACTTTATTTTCCACCTTTTTGAGTTCCTGCCAGTAATCTTTTATGAATCTCGAAAAACAGGTTTATTGGTATAACTTAGTCGAGTTTATCATTTTTCCCATCATGTTTTTGCACAATTATTGATGATTAAGCTGTACTGGTGTCGAACCTCTGGGAGGCAATTGCTTGCAATTATTTAAATAGCAGTTCAGATCCTGGCTGGCTTCAAACTTAAGGATAAGTTTAGGGACTTAGCTAGTTATCTTGTTCACCAGACTATTATACAAAACCTCATATTGTTGTTAGAGTTTACTAAGTTCTTCACCTGACTAGAATCTTTTCCAGACAAATGTATTGTTAATCCTTTTATCTTTTTTATAGCTATTGTCCTACTTTTTTTTGTCTTGATTACTTTCATTTGCTGGATTCATATGTTATCCCATTTTTGTAAAAGCCGGTGACATTTTCGGATATTTCAATTTTTGGATGTTTCAATGACCAAATCCTAATCATCTCTTTAGTAATGACACATCAAGAATTACTCAGAAGAACAATTGGTTGCAAAAATCACCGATGAGCTTCTATGACAAAATCTCTTCCTCCGAACTAATGAACTATGAACTGAGCCTGAGAATTCGTAAGCTGCTTAAGAAGAGAGGATTCAAATGACGCCTTACACAAAGACTCCTTAAGAAAGAAGGTTCAGGACCTATCGGCCAAAAGGCAGTGCAAGCTGTTTAAATATCGATTTCACCGTTAGAGAAATAGCTTAAGACATGAGTTATAAATTGTGAGGCTAAATTACACCGGAAAATAGGAGGGTGGTGAAAATGAAGGTGACTTTGAAATTCTTCAAATTTCGCTGAATTTTCAGAATACGAGACATGTACCCTATCCTTACTTGGCCTGATAAGCATGAAAGAGACCTATACTATGGTTTATGAGGCTAAGCAGATTGATAATCTCACATTTAAGCTAATTTCTTACAATAAATACGAATAAGTGTAAAATTTTGAGGATTTGGTATCTATTAAAGCATGTCTTTGCTGTAAATGGCAATTAATACGTTAGAGTTGAGTCTAAAGGACTTTGAATAAAGAGATTAGAGAGGGCGGGTGGTGTGTCCTGTGCCTTGAGAAATATTGGATACAAAAGTTTGGGTTGATGAGAGAATTAGAAAAATAAGGTGAAATGCAATTGGAGTTCATGATAGACTGTTTTTGATGCTTTTTGAGGATATGGAATTGAATTTTGAACTGAAACTATATAATTAGAGCCTCTCGTTTTTAAATTTTATGGCTTTTATTTATTGAAATTAGATAATTTTAACTAAAACTTCTGACAAGGAAAAGGACCAACTTATTTTTAATTTTTGCATAGATCTGCTATTCTAAGACTATAGAAAGCAAGAGGATTTTTATACAACCATAAACGCCATATTAATACTACTAATTTTACAATCCAATAATTCACCTATTTTTTGGGGTTTTGGGGTTTTGGGGTTTTGGGGTTTTGGGG